CCCCCGGGCCCCCCTCCCCGCCGTCAGCTGAAGAAGGAAGCGGATGAAAAGCACACGGTGGATACAGCACAAGCAACAGAAGAACAGCACAGCAGCTCCCCAGGCCCGGCTGTACCCAGGGGTGGGTGAGCTGGCACGGGTAAAATAAGAGCTCAACAGACTTTATATGTCCAAATTAAAAAACAGTGATGATAACACCCTCCCCTTGAGAGCCGCATTTTAAACCACCACTCCCCGACAGCATTTGGGGGTTTTTGTAATTTTCTGGTCGGTGCCACAGGCATGAGCTCTGGGGTCCGTGGCTGGCGGGCAGCACCGGCGGGGGGCCGGCAGGGGCCCCACGCGGCTCCGGGGGAGGCCAGAAGGACCGGCAAGCTCTGCGGGAGCTTGGCCTCGGGGTTTCTCGCCCGTCTGTTTCAGGCCCTTCCCCAAAGGCATGGCGAAGGGAGGGCAAGGAGGCAGGCAGTCGGATGTGCGTTGGCTTCAAACCCAACAGCTTTCACCCATGGTGGTCTCTCATTGGCAAAGCTCCTGCTTCTCCTCTGCGAAAGATCCTTCTCTGTCTTACGTCTATACACATTTATATAGAGATATAGATATCTGATAAACATTTCATATGAAAATAAATACTTCATCTGTATGTTAAGGACCATCATCACTCTCATCTAGTCACCTGCTGTAATGTTACATCTCTTTTTGTCCACAACAACCTTGTTCCCATCGCTTTTCTCCTAACCGGCGGCCATCCCCTCCCTGCCTCCCAGGGCGGCAGGAAGCCCAGGGGCAGGCAGAGACGGCTCCTTTGGCAGCCCCTCTCTCACTCCCGGCCTCCCAAGGCCTGGCTCATGATAGGGAATTTTATGAAGAAAATGTTTCCCTTTACAGCACCTGTTTCTTGATAGAAGAAATGATCTTCATCTTGAAAACACTTTACAATAAGGTTTTAGCATCCTCTTCCAGGGCTCTCAATTAAGAAATATGTTTCTAGATAGCACTGCTTATATAGATATAGGTATAGTTTTTATTTATTTTTATTACCAACCCAACATTTCAATTTGCAGCCATTGATGTAATTCATGACATACCCTCGTGGTGGTTTGCTTGTTTGTTTGTTTTCCTTAAAAAGAAATGCACTTGAAATGAAAAGGATGCCTTTTTTCTGTCTGGTGTCCCTAAAAGGTACTCGGGATGACACAGGAGTCCTGACATGGGTGGCAGTTTTTAAGCCGGTACCTTTCAATGGCTTGAAGACCACCAGTGAGATGCGGGCGCTGTCAAAACCTGGGGGAACAAACGAGTGAAAGGGCAGCCATGCCACAGCTCGGGGTGGGACGGCACTGGGGACACACGGGCATGCTATCCGGGTCTTCCTGAATTCATTCCCCCCCTCCGAGCAGGAGAACCCCGCAGCAAACCCACCCCCACCGCCCCCCCAAGGAGCCGGTGCCGCTTTCCCTGGCCCGCTCACTGCCCCCAGGGCAGGCTGTTCCTGGGTAGCCATTTATTTCTTTATCGGTTGTAAATGAACATAATTTTCTCTCCCTGCAGTACCACAAGCTCGAAGTTAATTATACAAAGAGAAATGCCATAGTCAAAATATACATGATACGTATTATATTAGAGGGTTGGGTTTGGGGGTTTTTTTTTTTTTTGACTCCGTTTTTTTCTTAGCCCAGGCAGGTGATTGAGATGCTACATGCTCCAGCCTTTGTCACTAAATGTGTGTGTCTGTGTCTGTGTGTCTGCGTTTTGTATTAAAAATATATCAGTCTTGTGATGTTCTTAAAAAAGAAAGAAATGGAAGGCGGCGGGGGAGGGAACGGGTAATAGTGAAAAAGTTCTTTGACTGTGTCACAGTCTTTTGTGGCTTCAGAAAATACACGTTCAATTCCAGCACTGACGGCAGCTTGAAGCTTTAGAGTTTAAATTTTTAACATTTTTCAGTTTAAGTAGTAAAAAAGAAAAAAAAATAATCAAGCAACGTGTTCCCCCAAAACCAAAAAGCAATAAGCAAACAAAAAAAAAAAGGAAAAAAACCCTACAAATTCCTGACCAGACTTCTGCAATGCCCAACCAGTAAAAATAAGAAAACATCTCCTTACAGTGGAGGGGTGCTCGGGAGGAAAGAAGCCAAGCCCCTATGGGAGAGGTGGCCTTTGGGGATGGCTGAAACTTCATAATCTCATTGAATGGGGTCAGTGGCTGGGTTTATCGTGTTTTGTTTTATTTCAACACTTGCCATTGTTGCTTTCTTTTGTATCATTTTGGGGTGGGTTTTGTCTGTTTGTTTTTTTCACTCTGTGATGGTTTTGCCCTTCTTGGCGCCCAGCTGTCCGACCATCTGGGCAGCGGCAGCCCCCAATGGACAGCCGTCCCCTCCGGTGAAACCGCGTTTCCAGGACCGGTGTCCGGTGAGGTAACGGAGGAGGGGGTCCCTCCCGCCGGTGGCACCATCCCTCCACCGCCTAAAACCCCTTGATGTAGCAGTAGGCCTCCAGGGTGGCGAAAAGGATGTACAGCAGCCAGAGGCTGACGAAGAGCAACGTCGTGGCCAGTTTGCACCCCTGGGGACCACCCAGCTCCCCCCCGAGGTGGGGCCGCCGGCGGTAGAGGAGGACGCTGATGCAGATGAAGGCGAAGATGGTGAAGAGGGTGACGGAGAAGGCCAGGGTCCCCGCCGACACCTGGAACTCCTGCCCCTGCGATGCCCAGTAGATTGCTGCCACCGACCATGCCAGCCCGATGCCCAGGAAGACGTTGACGGCGTTGCTGCCTGTGACATTGCTGATGGAGGCGTCGGCGTACACATCCTGGATGGCCGCAGCTTTGCTGGCGAACGTGTCTGGGGTTTGGGGAGGAGGGAAGGAGAAATCACTGGGGGTCCAACAGGATAAATGGGCAACCCTTCATGTCTGGGGGACAAGGGAGGCTCAGGCGTGGCACCACGCAGGTTGGGACGCGCACCTCTCCTGGTGCACACCCTACCTCCCAGGTCCAGGGACTCTGCATTGCCACCACGTGGGGTGCAGACCTTGCCTGGGGACAGGGCTTTGTGGAGCCCCTCCCAAGTCGAAACCCCCATCCTATGGCAGAGTTGCTCCCCTGGGGACAGGAGAGCCGCCGGAGGACTTTCCTCCCACCCCATCCCCTCCGAGCGGCCACCCCACCTGGTACAGATGTGCCGAAGGCAACAAAGACGACAGCGGTCACTGAGTCCTTGAGGCCAATGGTGCAGCCGAAGTGGGAGGCGAGGTCACCGATGACGGCTGTGAGCATGCCGATGATGAGGATGGAGACGACGAAGCAGGCCCAGCCATTGCAGTACTCGGTGGGGGGCACACAAGCAAACAGCACCTTCCAGAAGACGGTCAGGAAGTGCATCACGTAGTCAAAGCAGGATGGCAGGCGCTCCTCACCGGACTCATCCTCATCCTCATCACCCGCTGCAAACAACATGGAAGGAGAGATCCAGCGCTCATGATGGGGCAGGTCAAGAATACTGGGGTGGTTTGCAGCCCGTGCTTGATCCCTCCCACCCCAGGGCTCCAGGGATGCTGCTCTCCTGGAACAAGGTGGCATGGTGCTGGCCACGACAGTGGGCTCAGGGCATACTTGGTGCCTCAGTAATGGGTGAGGTTTGGCAAGGGGGCCGCCTCCCAGGACACCCCAGAGCTTGCAGGGTTGGGGAGTGGCAGAGCATTGTGTTGTACCCACAGACATGCAGCCCTGTCCCCATCCACAGGCAGTCACATAGGACGTAGTCAACCTGCTGGAGATCATTGTTGAGGAGTACCATGAAGTTACACAGGCAAGGGATCTTTTGGGATGAAAAATAGCAGAAAGTGATAGAACTGGGAAACTGGAGAGACCTCTTGGTCCTCCTGCTCCAGAGCACGGGCTGGTCACCAGCAGTGCCCCAGCAAGTAATTTCTCATCTCTGCGAGGATATCAGCGGCAGCACTGCAGGCCCTTGGAGGGGTCCTCTGCTTAGCCTGGTGGCCCAGGTCAGCGCCGAGGCTGGGAGCACTGCTGGTCTTTGTGCAGATACAGGATGATGGAAATAAAACGGAGGAAGAGAAAGTAGGTGGGGAGGACAGGGCAGATGGCAAGGGAAGGAGCGAGACATAGGGAGAGAAAAGCAGGCCTGGGAAAAAACACTGCTCGAAGGATGGAAGTACTGTTTCCACAGAAGCTGTTTCTCTTAATATCTAGAAAGAAGAAAACTGAATACCCTGCCTCTCTTCTTTTACATCAGAAGAAGCTCTTGTGGCCACTGGCAACAGCTCCCATCGAACTGCCTGCCTGCACTACAGCTGGGCCCTTCGGGGAAGATGCCAAACCATCAAGGAAAGGTTCAGAAAGGTGCCTGAGTGTCATTAATGGCATGGACATGCCTAAAATGTCTGCTCCACAGCTGCCTGGCTCTGGAAGCAGTGAGCTCTCTCAGGCTCCTGGGCAACAGCTGGCAGGTCTCTGGGCCGTTCCCTCCACCAGCCGCTGCCTCGTGGGGCAACATCTCCTGTCTGCATAGGGTAACCCTCCCTGCTCCCAGAGACTCTACTGGCCATGGCAGACAGGACATCTTCCAGCAGCAGGAGCTACCTGAACAGGACAGCACTGGACACGACAGGAGCCAGCAGCCCAGCCAGGATGGGACTTTGCTGCCTGTATGCTGCTCATCAGACCACTGAAGCAGCAGGAGCACCACCAGCAGACATTAAGGCTTTGAAAACTGGTCTCCTGGCTGGCTTCTGCACCAAAAGATGGATCTCCTGGGCTCCCAGTTAATGCATCTGTAAAAGCCCAGTATATCTGGAGCAGAGGAGCTCTTCAGACTGGCTTTGCTGATGGCCACCACGCACTCAACAGCTGAACCTCACCGACCAGGCAGATGCTGTCTCCTAAGCACAGACAGATCTCATCCCAGGCTGCATGAACCCTGTGGATGGTGTGGGTTTTCTGATGTCCCCCTCACCTGCACTGACAGTAATGGCCTCCATGAACTGGTCCCTCCAGGAATGTGTCCCTACAACCAAAGCCAGGTTTGTCTTCTTAATCAGCTTGTCCACAGTGCTCTGTTGTGGGAATAAAGACGCACAGCAATTAAACCGGCTGCTAGCAGGCAAGGCTGATCTTGCAGTGCACAGTGGTCTCACAAACCCTTCCCAAACTGTGGAAGTGCCACAAGCACTCTCCTACCAGCCAGACGAGGCCATGACTGGAGTTGGGCTCATCTTCTCTCTGGACAGGCTGACCCAAACCTCACCAGAGCCAGCTTGTTTGCCACCCCTTAATCCTGATGAGGCTCCGTCTTCCCTTACCCCTGCCTCACCAGGCAGCTTTGCTCCTGCCTTCTCCTGCACAATGGCTTCTTCTGCTTCCAGTAACGCTCCCTTGTCTTCCTCCCTCCACCTCTGCCTACTAGCAGCTACTTCCCCTGGCATTTCTTGTAGGCTTCTCCCACCCCTTACTGCACTGCATGTTCCTTTACCTCTTCCAGCAGCCCCATCCCTGCACGTGCAGCCACCCCCTGCCTCCTCAGTCCTGCTCTCCATGGCTGCTCCCCAGTGCCACATGGCTTTCCCCTCCTGGTGGACCCCTAGGACAACTACTGACCTTGAACTCATAGGACTCCTCAATGATGACTTCTAGTTTGGGATGCTCGCCGAGTATTGGTTTGCCCATCTCTGCAATCCTCTTGGCTTCCTCCTCTTCAACCGTCAGCTTCCTCTCAGCCACCTCTGTGAAAGTAAGACCAACACCAAGCTGTAGCCAGCAGCCTTGAGGCACCAGGGCACCGCAGGGGCTTGTCTGCAGGGCCTGACCACGGGCTTCTGCAGCCCCTCCACAGCTTGCTAAGCTCACGCAGCAATTTGAGGGGCAGTGGTGGGGTGTTGGACCATGGAAACAAAGCAGCAAGATTCCTGAATATCAGTTAGTTACCAAGAACACACACAACATGGTTTTAACTTATTAAAAGTTGGGCATAGTCTGAAACTGCACCAGGGGAAGTTCAGGGTAGAAATGAGGAGGCATTTCTTCACAGAAAGGGTCATTAGGCATTGGGATGGGCTGCCCAGGGAGGTGGTGGAGTCACCATCCCTGGAGGTATTTAAGAAAAGACTGGACGTGGCACTTAGTGCCATGGTCTAGCTGACACGGTGGTGTTAGGGCAAAGGTTGGACTCAATGATCCCAGAGGTCTCTTCCAACCTAATTGATTCTGTGATTCTGTGAAAAAAAAACCCAAACCCAAATGTTTCTTCAGTTTGCACTGGCACTCTTCGATGAGATACGCCCTCCCATCATCTTTGCAGCGGCCACATGTTTGTGGAGACCAAGGTACCGACTCATGCAGCCATTTGGCACAAGTGTCCTTTAAGACAGCTTTAACGTCCTGGCATGTTTTCTGGTTTGAATGAACAAGAGACAGGATCTTTTTATTCCCCTTTGATTAGAAAATCACTGTTGGCACCCTGTGCTACTCAGTGCTTGATCCAACGCACACATGCACACACAAACACATTCCTAGAGTTTGGAAAAATGAACAAGAAGAAGTAAGCCAGGAACCAAATGGTTTTTTTCTCTCCTATTACTGGATGTTTAGTTTCTGCTGGAGGAAACTAAACCAGGACCCCAGGTCCCGGGTCAGCAGCATGCTGAGATGACCCTGTGTTGGGCTCATCTTGCTGATGCCCCAGCAAAGCCAGCAAGGTGGGAGGTTTGGTTCCCCGGGTGGGAAGGAGCACCTCAACCAGCAGGAAGGGTGCCCTGGCACTGTCCCCAGCCCTGACCCAGGTCTCCTCTCCCACTCACACCCCCAAGTGCAGGGACATGCCGATGGGCTCTCTGAAAAGCCTTGACACCTCAAGAAAAATGCTAGGATTCACCCAGCTTTCCTGTGCCTGACCAGGCAGGGCACACGGGGCCCAGCTGAGCCTGGCCGAGGGAGCTGGAGCTCTGCAGGACCTGGGGGGGTATCATAAAGGCAGAGCACCTTGTTCTGGCTAAGCAGGGGGTCAGATGGTACCCAAGATTTCCTGTACCCTCAGATGTGATGATTAATCCCAAGCAGCTCCAGCAGATCTCATACTCTGCACCAAAAATCACACAAAAATTATAAAGTTCCAGTGAAATCTAGTTATGAACGCTGCCTTCTCTTCATCAATCCAGCTAGATTGATTGCAAAGACTGTACATCTTGCAAGACCTGCAGAGTTTATAAAATATATAGTAACTCCTGGGGCAGGTGACATTATTATAACCCATCACAGAAGCAGAAACAGCTGTATCCATCATTTGAAATCAATGATGTACATCAAAACCATCACTGCCTAGCTCAAAGACAGCGTACTCTGGATTTGGGAATCTCCAGAAGTTTACAAAAAATTCTGGAGACAGGGGAGCACAGCACCTGGAGAAGAAGATGGGCAATGCAGGATGCCAGGGGACAGAGGGGCAACTGCAGGCAAAGACCAAGCGAGCACAGAGGGAAGAAGGCAGCTGAGCTGGAGAAGTGCAGAAACAGGAGTGAACCAGGACACTTGCTACACTTGGAGGCATGAACTGATGATTATCAAGAACAAGATTCAAGTTACTTACATTCACTTGAGTAGGGAGTTAGATGAAATCTACATCTCTTTTTCCAAGACAGAGATGGAGAAAATTCAGTCTCTGCCTCTACCTGGAAATGTATGAAGCTGACAAGCTGTATCCATCGTTGAAAATGCAGATGCTTACACATCAGTTGCCCTACCACGTACGTGGCTCGCTTCTGTCTGCGCTCCCCCATAACCTGAAGCTCAGAGGAGGAGGCACCCTCAGCTCTCCAAGGCCCAGCTTGGCAAAGGAGCCAAGCGTGTGCTGACAGTATTGACCTGAGCAAAAGCACCGCAGCCATCCCAGCAGGGCTGCAAAGCCCAGACTTGGTGACAGTCTGGCTCAGGACAGCCTTCGCTGGGAAGTAACGACATCTGAAGAGCTGCAGTGGCAGCTGGTCGCACGGTCCCTTGGGCTCTCGCCCACTGGCTGCAGTTGCACAGCACAGAAGGCAAACGTGTGGAATCAGAGGAGCTGCCCTGAAAATGCGGAATATCAAGCAGAATTTCCTCCGCTTAACAACTTCAGGAGAAATGATGCAACGAAACCTCAGTTCCCACTTTAACTGATTTGACAAAAGCCTTTAGCATGGTAAGACAACACGGAGCTCCACGCAAATATTAACTCTCTAGGCAAGGTTGAGCTGCAGGTTCATAAGAACATGCAGTGCAGAAAGCTCTCTTCTCCCCAGATGGAACAGCATCCAACATAGCTTTATGCCAGAACCTCGCATCTTGCTCATGCTGGTTTATGTACCTGTGCCAGGCAGGACAGTGCAAGGCCCAAAACTCTCCTCTGAGGATGAAGATCTCCTGCATCTCTTCTCGCTGTGCGCCAGGTCCAAGGCTGCCGGGCAGGCTGGACGGGAATGCCCGTGTCCATGGCCAGAGGCAGGACCTTCAGCTGCTGGCAGGTGGCTTTGTTGTCTCTGCAAGCCACTTGCGGATCACCTACTGTTTTGATGAGCGTGGCAATCACTTGCCAGGCAGCTCTTAGAGTAAATCAACTGACACATCCATGTCCAAGAACAGACAGGTTGCTCTGGCAGCCCGGGGGCTGGATGCAGCGTGGGCGTGGGACCGGGCACTCCACCAAAGTGAAGGTGCTGGCACTTACCACAGCACTGAAGGGCTCTGGGGCTCGTGCTATTTCAGAGGGCACCTTGCCAGTGGAAGAAGTGCTACCAGAAGCACCTTCAAGCCCTAGGTAGGCCACTTACGGTGAAGGGACAAGCTGACCAGCGATGGAGACCTGCAGCCTGCTGACAGCAGGTCCACCGAGACATGAATAATGGAGGTCCTGCTGTCACCACACAGCTCCTCCGTGGTGAATGCGGTGAACTGGGGCACAGAGAGAAGAAAAGCAGTCGCCCAAGAAGGCACGTCGAGGATCTCCTACGGTGGCAGCTGACTGAATACCACTGCCAGCCAAAGTCTTTCAATGTCCGCTGCAAGTGAACCGTAGGAGAACAGGCATAGGCACCATGTCCAAATGGGTACCTAGCAGTAATGTTAATAGAGGAAGTTTGCAGATAAGGAAAAAAGGCGGTAATTCCTTCATGCCTCATTAAAAAGCAGTCACATTTGTGAATATGCAACAGGAAAGAAAAACACAGAAATATAAGAAACGTCAAAGGTGCCTCTGAAAACATTTAACCGGCCATTGTATTTTCACTGAGCCGCTATCCTAATGTAGGAGACAAACCCAGATGGAGTCCCATGTCAGTACTGTGCTGGATCTTGCTCAATGCACTCGTGCCAAATACCAGCCTGCTGACTGTCCTCTGAAATTAAGGCAGTGCCGTTTATAGCAGGAAGGACAAGTTTAGGAGCCCAGTTGACATGTCTCTTGCCCCAGCCTATACTCGCCATACAGGGAAGGGGGAGAGCTAAGCACCCCCAAAGAGCAATACAAAGCACCTACATGAATCCACCACTTCTCCTCACCTACCGTTTGGGACACCTGAGCACCCTGTAACAGGAATCAGTACCAAGCTCTGCAGAACATGAGACCCCAACCTGAACCTGCTCCAGGCCTGCTGGGTCCATCTGTTCCAACGGGATGCTGAGGACTGAGTTGAGCCCCCATGGATACAGACCCAACAGGAGAGGGAATAAACTTGCAACATCCCAGTAGCAGAGCACACTCCCGATGCTCCTGTCTTTCCAGGAAGCACTTCAGCCAGCAGCAGGGTGCACCACCCTGCCGTTGGAGCCGCAGGAGGATGGCTCTGCAGCAAGCACGGGGCATGATCCCACACCGTCTACGGTAGCCACAGGCCCCCACCTCCTGAGGGACAGGGTATAGGGCTGGGGTCTTGGAGGGTTCCTCCAGGAAGCAGGGACAGGGCATCGGTGAGGTGTTTCACACATCACCCTGGTGCGGTAGCCCGCAAAGAAGACTACCGAGGCCTGTGATAAATAAAACACAAGGGGCAAGGAGGAGAGACAGGTTTCTAATTTGGAAGGTCAAGTCTGTCAAGGTGAATGTTGCCAAGCTGCAGCTTAATTATTAACTAGCCTGATTTCTGTTTGTATCAGCATCAGTACCTACTTTTCAATGCGGATTGCACCCTGGGCTCCCTGCTGTCAACCCCAATTAAGCCTGATAAGGTCTGGCTATGCCCAGCAAGAACACGAGCTTGCCAGGACCTCCTGGGCTGCCTCCACCTCCTCCCTGCGAAGGGAAAGGTGGCGAGAGAGGGGTCCCCTAAACCCTGCCTGCTCTGGCACACAGGTGTCTGCTACCGTCGAGTGCTACAAACCTATATCTGGGCTACAGGAGCACGCACAGGCTGCCAAGGCAAGGCAAGCTGGGGCTGCTGAGCCAGGTGCTGCACCAAGGTACTCGGTTCCTCGTGCCAGGGAGCCCACGGGTTAGAGAGGAGATGTTGCAGCCAGGGGAGGTAACAGGTCTGGTAAGATCAAAGGCTGGGCGGGAGGAATGAGAATGAAGTCTGCTTTTGCCCAAGCTGTAGCAATGGCCACAGCTGACACCCGCTAGGCACTGGACCCAACGCCTGCCTGCAGGAAGCAAGGGGAGGTTTTTGGTTAATCCACTCCGTGCTCTCCCTTATTCCGCCTCATTCAGGGTCAGCTCAGACCCTTAAAGGTAGGACAGACGAGGTGGGCCAGCAGCTCCTAGTTATGGTCCTGCCAATGCCGTGCTCTGCAGCCCTGGGCATGTCCCTGCCATGCTCAGTCCTCAGCTCTCTCACCCGCACGTGAACCATCTACATCCGCAGGGCCATCCACCATCCTGAGACTTCATCTGCAGCTATTTGCAACACACTTGCAGACCTACAGACAATTTCTTGGGCTGAAAATACTGTAAGCAGATCCCCTCTTCCTCTTATTTCTTCCAGGGAAAAGGAGAACACTGAGCAGCGTTCCCACACCATGCATTGCTCCTGGAAGGTATGACATGGGTGCTTGCTCACTCAACCTCCTTCAGACCAGGGGGACCAAATGGGAACGGGACATTGCCTGTGGCCTCCTGGACACATCATAAATCAAAGTTAGATAAAGCCCATTTCCACAGGGTAACCTGGCCACCACACCTTTGAGCTGAAACAGGCAACAGGAAGGCCCTGCAACACTGTCAGAGAGGTAGATACCCATCACCTGGGCAATGCTGCGAGAGCACCAAGCAGCCATGGACCAGTTTGTATTCCCTATCACTTGCTGAATAAATTGGATTAAAACCAGGAATGTATTCATGAAAGATTGCTATGAAGGCCACTTCACACCCCTCGAGCTATCTCGTCCCCATCCATTTCTAGAGCAGACATGTATCTGCATGAAGGTCACCCCTTCTGGGGACTGTGCTGCTAGGAAGAAATTAAAACAACAATTAAAATGGGATTTTTTTTTTTTTTTTTTTTTTTTTTTTTTTTTTTTTTTTTTTTGTTGTGGTTCAATAAAATATAATCCTGGCTAAACAAAGTAAACAGTGAGCATGAATGAGTTCCTTTCTCCAGAGTGCTGTCAAGCCGTCAGTCACAACTGAGGAAGACTGCTGGCTAAAAGACACTTCGGCTTTTGAGGTTAGCATATGGATATGCCCTTTACTGAAACGCATGCACAAGCACCGGCAGCCTGGGCTGCTTTCTAAAAAGGGAGGAATCTGCTTACTTAGCCCTGAAAGCTATTTTTGAGGCGTGATACATCCCAAATACATGCCCCAGTGTCCTTAACGCTAACTGGGAAATGCTGCACATTGATGAGAGGGAGGCCAAGGCACCAGGCTGGGAACTGCGCATCACTGCGCTGCTGGCCCTGCCTTGAGATTGCTGTTGACAGGACCGTCCCCGACAGGGCAGTCAGCTGGCGTCTCTGCTCCCCAGCCTTTCCCACTGCAAAGTAGACCCAGGAGTTTCAATGCATAAATAAACATATTTAGAAATATTTTCTTTGATCTGGGTCAATATGTGGAAATGAGGGTAGAGAAGTATCTACCATTTAGAAAACTCCTCATCCCTTTAAAGATCTCGACCTCCTGAGCCCAAGGACTTGTGAGCAAAGGTTCTGCTCAAGCTTTCAGTGACTTTTGCAAAGGCTGGAAAGACCACCAGAGCAGCTCGGCCACTGCTGGCAATGGCAGGGACAACTGGAGGTGCTATGCACTTTGGTATTGAATATTTCCCTATATAACAAGTACACAGAGAGATCATTGCCAGTGCCAAAACACAAGGTTATGCATCAGAGGAGTTAAAAAAAACCCAGCAGGTTTGACTCTCAAATCACTCCACAGCCCCCCCATACTACTGTGGTCCTCTGCAGCCTCAACAGCTGGCACTGGACACTTGGCCAAGCAAGGCTTTCAAAAGCTTTGCACAGCCCCACAAGTCAGGCTCGGAGAGCCCGTTTGGAGGAAACAAATGCTGAGCTGAACCTGTGCCAAAGGCTCTCCCCTGTCCAGTCACTTTGCCTTGTGTAAAATTCACAGCCCTGTTTTTCCAGGGAGGGTTCTGCAAGGCAGGGGTACAGAGCCAGGATCTCTCATTTACCCCCCCAGGTAAAGGGCTGTTGGGACAAGAGGGGCATTTTCACTTGGGCTCATCCATCAGGGCACACCAGGGCTTCTGCAAAGAGATAGGGCCACCGCAGAGAGCAGGGGGGCTGCTGAAGAGGTGCCAAGGGGAGGGCGAATGCCCCCACGGCTGCAGAGGAGAGCCAGGGTGCCCAGGGGTCCCTGGGACCCAGCCCTGGGGAAAGGGATGCTGCCCGGGAAAAGCTGTGAGAGCTGCTCCGGGAAGGAGGGGATGAGGAGCGGGACCAAGAGATTCCACTGAAACGTTCAATAATGCAGTTTTTTTTACAAAGATTCCTGCACAGCTGTGTAATCTAAATCTAACATGACACAGACTAAACGAGGACGTCACTTTTCTCCCCGCTGATTAGCGGTGATTGCAGCTGAGTGACACTCCGGCACGTGCCTCTGTGGCGAGCGGGGCTCTGCTCGCCCGCCGGCTTCAAACATGCATGGGGGCTGAGCACCGTGAGCTCAAACTGTGGACCGAGCACACGCCGTATGCGTGGAGGGTACCCCATGGCACCCCAGCGAGGGGGCAGGCACCCCAGGGACCCCCCTCTCCCAGAGAGGAGGCTTTTCTTTATTAACTGGAAAGCAGCTTTCCATAGCTGGTGACCAAGTTCTCCAATAGCGGCTGCCAAAAGCAATCAGGCTGGATCACAACAGAGGGAGGAAAGTTATGTTATTTTACTAGAAATTATTTGGTTCCTGGGGTTCTGATCAAATTAGGCAGCTACTGAATTAAAGCAATGAAATTACTGGGAAGAAGGCTGCGCTCAACTTATTTCCAGTCCTTCCGGACCTGAAGAAGTAACAAAGGAAAACGTCCAAACCACTCCGAGGAGTTTTCCGTAAACACCTTAAGCTGATATTTGGGGAGATGGGGATTTCTGCCTGCCACGAGCAATTTCCTAATTAGCCGAATATCCAATGGGCTCAGGCCATCCCCGGCGCAGCGGATTTGGCATCCTCCGAAAAGGAGCGGAGACTGAAGCTTGTGCAGCAGATGCTGCTCCTTTGATTTGCAGCACAGCTCAGGCGCGCTGAACGCTTTGGCTTTTCAGCTCTGCTTGCAAACCTGTCAGACTACAGCTCCTCTCTGCACCCTGCGTGCCCACTCCGATCTTTTGACAAATGTTTCTTTAGTGCAAATTCAACAGTAATCACATCTGGAAGTGAAGGAATAAGAAAAATACAGGAGGCGTACATCGCACCATGGTAGGATCAAGAGAGACTGGCGTAACGGGGATTTGGGGCAAGGAAGCAGGGGGGCTCAGTATTAATACATGTAAAATCCTGCCACAGGGAAAGGAGATGAAGAGTGCAGAGCCAGAGCTCAGGGTGAGGAGGGAAATAGTGCTGGTGCTTATCGTGCCCCGGTAGCGCTGCCTGGGCGCTGGGTGCACCGCTGGGACCCTCCAGGACGGGAGGTGGAGAGCACCCAGGTGCATGCCCTGAGGGGTGATGCATGACCTGATCCTCTGTGGGAAGGGGACACCTGCGCAGCCCGGCACCCTCGCCCACCCCAAGCAACGCCATCCCGCACCCCAGGAGTGCCACCCCTGCCCCTCCACAGAAAAGCCAGTGCATCAGCAAAACCCAAATCCCAGAGCTGCCCGAAGAGAGGGTCGAGTCACAGCCCCGGACCAGCCAGGGCTGCATGCTCTGCTTTGCAACTCTGGCTGGGTCATTTCCCAAAGCCACAGGGAAAAACATGGAATATGGGAAATGCTCTTAGATGTCAATCAATCACTGTCATGTTCTTAATGCATTGGTCTTAACTAGCTCCTGCTGGACACAAACACCATGAGCTGGGGTTGTCTACCACATAGCAAACGCAAACACGTGGCGGGGGCTGATCGGAGGGGAAGAAAACAGCCAGAGCAGGCAGAGGAAAGGAGAAAAAGCACTTACCTTGGGTGAGCAGCAGGGCTGTGGGGAGAGAAGAACACAAGAAAGTTGGGGAGAGAGAAGAAAAGAGGGAAGAAGTTAATATCCAAGGGGGAAAAGCTGTTTTGCAGATGACGGCTATCAGTGAGCAATGGACGTGGTGCAAGGCGGCGGGTGAGCTCGCCGGGGCTGCATGTCGGCGCAGGCTGGGGAGTAGACACCGCAGCAGCGAGATGGAGAAGAGGTTGGCAAGCACTGGGGTGCTGGCTCCCCAAAGTCACCCCCCCAACCCCCCACCCCAAGCGAAGGCAGAGAGATGGGATGCAGGCAGCGAGTAGCAAGGAGGGGAAAGGAAAAATGGGGGGGGGCGGGGAAGGGTTGGGGAAGGAATGGTTACGCTTGCCATCGGGGCCTGAAGTGACCCAAACGCATGAGAAGTGTCCCCGCTTCAGCCAGGAGCGTGTGGTTGTGGTGGGGCTTGGCATAACCAGGGAGCCCTGGTAAACCCATGGAGGGATCAGAAGAGGGTGGCCAGGGGTGATGGGCAGCTCACTGAGAAGAGCATCATCAGAGGGAGGTGTTGATGAAATGGGTGTTGGCCTCCAGCGTGAAACGGGGCAGGGGGTAACGTGGCCACGTGCCATCCTCTGGGACACCCTGGCTCACCTACGCCTACCCCACGTCCCACAGGTACTGCTCCCAGAGGGTCAGGGTGCCGAGAGGAGCACAGGCACACGTAAAGCATCACCGCTTTGAGTCCTCCCGGCTCCCTTTGCTCCCAATTGCTGGTCTGTCCAACAGTGCTGCACGGGCACATGCCGTGCAATGTCATTGCAGTGGGATGCAACTGCAAATGTAACCGCATGGTCCTGTAAGATTAGAGGTGGGAGGAAGGAAGGAGAAGGGGGTGAAGGTCCTTGCAAGGGGCGACCTTACCCTGACTTTCCGTACAGGCACGGCCCAACCCTCTTGCTGCCTTGGGCAGTGACCTCCTGGCCCTCCCCTGCCTTGATTTCTCCACTCCCCAGAGCTGTCACAAAGAAACACCTGGCTGGATCCCTCTTAGGTGTTACCGCAGAAAGCCACCGCCTGCATCCAAGTTTCAAACTAACTACAGGAGAGTCCATACAGCAAAAAAATACCGAACTGTTTTCAAGAGGAGCCAAGCATCAGCTCCATGCCTTAGCTTTGACTTCTACCTGTCCTTCAAACAGCAAACCAGTCCCCGAAGACTTGGTTGCATGCGATGACGGTATTGTAATTACTAACGCTTATTATCATGCACTTTTAGTCTCAGAAGCTTAAAACTCTGTACAAAGACTGAGTCAGTATTAACAGCCCCATTTGACAGATGGTGAAGCAAACAAACAGAGGCTAAAGGGAACATTTTGCAAACTCAGAAGTGGGCTGGAGTCCAAAAGTGCTAATTTACCCAGACTTGCCGGTTCAGGTCTCTGAAAAGCCGGTATTTTTATACAGATGCACCTAATTGTATCTGTGCCGTTTCCAAGCGGTTTCCTAAGCAATTCGTCAAAGGTTGCACCATGCATCCGTGGCAGAGCTGGGGAAAGCAATCCTGAGTCCCAGCTCCCAGTCACTTCCCTGCTCCGTCAGGCAGCATCCATGGGCACAGCTCTCCTGACAGCCTGCAGACAGGCATCAGCCCAGTCAAGATCTCCATCCACCTATCCATCTCCCCAGCTGGAAATACCGTGGGCACTCCGGGAGATTTCCCTTGTCCGTGCTGGCAGGTAGAGGCGCAGTGAAATGGGAAGGGGCAATGAAGAGGCTCCTTGCTGAGCACCCCTCGTGTTTTAGGGTCAATTCCTTTTGAGTCAAAAACCTTTAGGGGAACCATTTGTGAAGATGTTTTGCAGCACATACAGTGCCACAGAGCCACAAGAAGCAATGGGACATTTGCTCTGCCCGTACCACCTCCTGTCCTCCGTGCAGATCTGCCTGGAAGTCTCCAACAGGCTCGTCACTGCCCCTTGTAGCATGAATCTCAAGTCTCCTTGTAGCTCCGTCCTGCTGCAGCTCCATGCTACCCTGTGGCCTCCTTGCTATTCCATGGGCTTCTGGTTCTCCAGATAATGCGGGGAAATTTAATTTGCCTTTTGCAATTACAAGCATTAGTACAATGGGTCGATTTGGTGTTCAAATTTAATATAATGAAATATTACTGGGCCCCTAAGCTACTGTGGTTATTAAAAAAAAAATCATTGGTTCCTCATGTTTTTTAAAACTGTTATTCTAGTGCTCTGGGATTTGAGTTTATTTTTTTCCCTATTTGCTTTTGAGCCTGCAAAAGAACTATTTTTCTCCCTTTCACTTACGATATGATACATGAATATTTGAAGAAGCCTATAAAGCTATGAATGAAACATCAAGAATACAGCATGCAGAAAGCCAAGGGATTATTTAATCTTTATATTTCTGAGTGAATGCTGTGCATGCAAGCAAGAAAATGATTTCACGGACTAAAGCTTCCTTCCTGCACACGCATCTGCTAATGTGCCCTTAGCCCTGACCTGTAATGTTTCCTGACAGTCCATCTGGGGATGCTGTACCTGTACCAGCCCTGCTGACGGTCCCCGTGCTGTTCCCATCCCACAAGCCTCCCCCCGCTCCCCCCAGCCCAGGCTGCAGCCCCTCCATCCCTCCCCAGGGCACCTCTTCCCCTCCTGTATCCCACTCTGCACGTCACGCTCCTCACGGGGTCAAGCCAGGCCACCTCATTGCTGTTGGCATCTCAGGTAGTCTCAGAGGCTTGACATGCGTATTCTTACAGGGAGCTGCTAAAATTAGCTCCGCAGCCAAATCCAAAACAGCAGTCCCAAGTATCCCTTACCTAACCCTTGCACGGCATGAATGCAGACAAACACGCGTGCCCCCAGACAAGCGAGGTGATGCTGACTCTCTCAGGAGACCCAAAGCCTTCAGCTCTGGAGCCCAGTTCCTCCTTTACTGGGATTTCTCTGCTCTGCAGGCCTGGTTTTTACTAGGAAGAGTCAAAGTTGTGTGCATGAACTTTGCTTCCCCTGCCACCCCTGAAACTGGACAATTTAGACCTGAATTTAGCTGCTAAAAAAGATGTTTACTAAAAAACTATTGCCTCTGCATGTTTTTAGTGTACTTTGGGGTCAAATCCTGCTGTGACACGCACGTTGGTGTGAGTTACAGATCAGGAACTGAATTCCCTCCTCTACCGAACTGTAACTCCTGTAACTCAACCAAAGCCAAAGAAGGTTAAATCAAGAGGAACCAGGCTTGGGATGGGAGCAGACCAGCAACTGGACAATCCTGTAGTCCACAGCAACCCCATGTGCTAAATGTGCATCCCAGCATTTTTCTGAACAGTGAAATACCTTTTTCTGCTGTTTACCTCGCAGAGAGATTTGATCACGCTGCACGCTTTATTCTGGACTCATTCTTCATTAACATAAATCTTTTCTAATCAGTATCCCTAAAGACTCCAGGAAGCCACTGCATAGATAAGAGGATCCTTGTTAAAGACCTGCGGTTTACAGAGTGAGCTGAAATGAGGGAAAGGAGGGTGGATGTTGAGGAGACCCTCAGTCACACAGCAGGGCAGCCACAGGCAGCCAAAGACAAGGAGAAGACGTTGCCTGCACCCCGTGTGCACCCAAAAGGGCTCAGTGACCATGCAAACCGCCGGCTCCATTCCCCAAAGAGGTAAGGATCCCCCATCCTCCAGATGTAACTGTCCTCAGGCTCTGCCTCCAGATTTGCTCACTGAGGTGAGCAAACTGTTTCCCCCACGGTCTGTGAAGAGCTATAAACATGGGTTTTTTTATAGGCTAAACAAGGCAGAGATTTTGCAGCATTAACCTGAATGCTCTTATTATTGAAGTCAATAGCAAAGCTCTTGCAGACTCCAAGAGACTCATCTCCATCAGGAGAATCAGCAGTGTTCAGCTTAATCACAGAGCCGCAGGCAAATTATTAAACCTTTGGGGAGGGAGGTAACAGCAATCTAACATTTCTTTGCTATTCCCATCAGCAGCTGATGGAAGAAGGAGTTTCTTAGCATCTGCCCACACTTCAGAAAACTGCAGCATGCGTGCTCACGTATTGATGCAGCTTATCTTATACAGGTGTGGACCTTTGTACCAAGTCACATCGTTTCATCAATATTTTGATACAGATAACTTGCTGGATCAATCCAAGCTAGGAATTCTTCTTCCTTCGCAGTTTAATCCTTACTCTGCGACTCCCGCCCACGTCCTCCCTCTGGGCAGCTTTCCCGTCAGCGGTGCTGATGCTCGATTAAAAGGAGATGTGTTATGAGATTTGTCCACACCAGTTGACTCCGTGCTGGGAGGTCTGAGAGGACTTCAGAGAAAATCTTCCCAAGCCGGGTCATGTCAGCAAGCTGTTTAATACTGCTTGCCATCTACCTGTGCTCTCATTTTCAGTGAAGTCGTATCTTGTGGGAGAAATGCTTTCTGAAGGAAAATTTTGCATGAAGGATGTCGGTCCCTTTTACAAAGTGTAACCCTCAAGACTCAGCCTTCACACACCAGCCCTGAGGTTGAATCTTCCACTGCTGTGCCATGAGCTCAATTCTCATGAGCAGACTCCCAATTACCCTCATGAAACATAATTTTCCAAATGCTATTTTCACTATTATCCACAATCAAGTGAAATCTTCCAAAGTAGCCTCACTTGCCATTCGGGCTCCATCAACGCTAAGGTTAAGCACAATTTAAGCAGAAGACCAACTTTATCCAGGGAAAGCAAAGCAAGTTTTTCTCCTGTAATCCAGGACCGCAGAAAAAGTGTGAAAGCTGATGTGTGAAGAAACTATTTCTCCAAAATCCTGCTGGGCTGACAGCAGCAAAATCCTCATTCCGAGTTGTGAGCTGACACGATACCAGAGCTGCCATAAGAGCAGGAGTCAAACCAACAGATAGCATCTTGTCATAAAGGAAGAGACTCATTTCACTGCAGGAACACTTTAAAAAGGTGCTGAGAAAAGGATGGCCAGAAAGGTGGCTCAGGGTGCTGGGAGGTTTCAA